GTGACTTGCATTGATGTAAGGTACCTCGGGATATCGAGGGCGGTTCAGTTTGCGCTGTGAAAAAGGGCATGGCAAGGTACACAACAAGTAAGGTAGGTACTCCGTACTTTGTGCCAAACGTTTCCTTCCCCATCTGGATCATTCCAGCCGCAAGTTGTCGCAACGTGTAAACACCCCTTTGGCCTACTTTCCTTGGTCTGAGATTAGCGGTGACGTACTACAGTGGTGCGATGCAGGAACGCTCAGAGTTCCCGGTACCTAATGGGCGAGTTTGGCGACGTGCCTGGACCAGCTGGGCGATGCACGGAGCACATAGCTGCCCCGCTCCCTGCCTGGGCAAGCTCCCCAATGGCGGGGCAGTGATGAAAGGCAGTCGCGTGTTCCCGCACCTATGACGTACCTTCCAAATCACGAGCTTCCCAGCTCCTGCCCTCTCCTCGTAGCGTAGCTGGGGGAAGCTCCCCCCCCTCTTCAGCTTTTCCTCATATTAAAAGGCTGCGGCATACCTTGAGCTCCCATCTGTCTTCTCCTCTTCAGATCAATCAACCAAACAAAAACATCCTGAGATACCCGACGACATTTCGTCTTACACGCACATTCCTATCACATTTACAAGACCTCCATCGAGAGTTCATCATTCAATCACTTACCAAAACACACTACACTCCTACACACCACCACCACCACCACCACTACAACAGTCAAAATGGTCCGCGGCGAGGCTTCCCAGACTAAGGTCCACTTCAAGGGCCAGGAGGACGACTTCATCATCTTCGTTGAGGACCCCGAGCTCTACAAGAAGTGGAAGACCGACAAGTCTGTTCCTCTGGCACACTTCATTTCCTCATACAAGATCTTCGTCACGCACAAGTAAGTTGCAACTTTGCCTTCTTCCTACCTCTTCCTTTCCATCACCAGTGCTTCATCTGGTTGTCTATTCACCATCTTTGGCCCAATTGGATTTGAGGTCTACCATTGCAATGGCTTCGGCCTATGGCAGGGCGGGGGAGCGTTCGGGCCTCCAATTGTTTGCTTCCCAACATGCTACCGACACCTACTTGGCCTACCCCGCATTTCCACACATTACGCACAGCGGCTAACTCAATGAATTAGGCAAGGTGCACAGGGCCAGTACGATGCCGCTTCCAAGCCCACACTCGAGAACGAGTTTGGTACCAGCGTCGATGATGAAGTGATCAAGCAAATCCTTGAGAAGGGTGACACCCAGAACATTGAGGTCAGTCATACGTTGGACACACCACCTCAAGTGCAATCTACTGACAATGATATCAACAGTTCCCCGACCGCCAGGGTCCCAAGAACGATTCCCAGGGCGGCATGGTTGCCCACTAGAGGTCTTCCAACTCCCGCAGTCGCGTGAGGCTAGACGTGAGGGGCGGCATTGTCGCATCAGCTCGGCCAACATCTTACAGAAGGTTGCGGCCCAATGTGAGCCGAAACCGACGATTCCCTGGCGCTCGACGTAGCTGCGGTCAAAGGCGGGCGTTTCTGTTTTGAGGCGTTGAGGTTTGGAGTGGTGTGTGCAGCGATGGCAGCGAGGCATTACCCTCGACGGAGCACGCCTAACAATGACAATCCGAAAGAAGATGTCTTGAAGGGGAACATTAATCGCGTTCCCATCAACCAATTTACATGCAACGGAGGATGATGTACAAGGTGTGATAACCTTAAAAAATCTCCTTCGAGCCCGACAAGGGTTCAACATCGACGCCATGGTCAAGCATGGGGTCGATTGCATGGGTTTACTTAGCGAATAGCTGAATATGAGCACATGACTTCTCTCCATCGATTATGTCCTTGTCTGCACCCGATGATTATGAATGATTTTGACGTATGCACATTTAAGGGGTGGTTGATCCATTTGCGGTGCAAGTAGTAAGAGTGCAGAAAATCTTCGCAGTACACGAAATGTAAGAAGCTTGGGTAGTAAGTCAGTCATGCCGTCAGATCCGAAAACTGATCGGGTCGACTGGCTATAGAGCAAGCTTTCGCGATATGGTTGACCGACCGGGCGATTGATCAAAGTAAGCTCTTTCCGACGGCTTGGTCAGGCTTACTTCATGTAAATTGAGCCGCCAGGAACGGGCAGGACGCCTGGTCTATATAAAGACGGTTTTAATGTATTCGAATATGTGCAAGGCTGTCCGAAAAGTGGGGATACGAGTCGTTTGGGGGCCAGCGACGGCGGCCCCCCCCCGTTAGCTTGTCCAGCCGTGTTGTTGATCGTGCTGGACCTTGCGTCGTTGGTTCCTGTTGGGTCGTGGGTTTTTTCTTCTCCCTCTCTCGTGGACTCGTGATGTGGTGCGCGCCCGTTTCTAAAGTGTTTCGGGGAGCCGCTGCGGTGCCTTGGCCGCCCCCGACCCCTGCGTAGCCGCCCCCCTCCTCGCCTGTCGCTGTTGCCTCCACGCGCCTCAAATTCTGAAAGGGGTTATTTTTCTCTTTTTTTTGTCGTCGGGGGGACGTTGTATGTGCTGTATGTGTGTATGTGTATATGTGTGTGTGTGTGTGGTGTCACTGATTACATACTTTGAGGTCATCTACACACACCCCTTTTTCAGGTGAGAATGAAGGTTCGATGTAAAGCAAAAAAAAAAAAAAAAAAAAAAAAGTCGAAGAAAGAAACTTTGACGCTCCCGTAAACCATCGGTTCCCTTGGCTGCGAAGGAAAAGTCTAAGTGCGAAAGAGAGAGCAGAAGAAGGCGCCAAGAGCTCACGAGACCATTACGGGTCAACGGCAACTCTTTTTTTTTGAAAATCTTTCACTTGACTTTTTTTCTGAATTGGTCAGTCCCGAGAGGTAATCTGAGAGGGATGAACCCCATGTCGTGGTATGCCATATGTCACCGGATGTTAAGCTTGTTTGCCGAGATTGCCGTCACATCGTGTCAGTTGATGATGATGGGGGACAAATTACAATTGGAGGGCTCATGTTTTGGGACTCATTCTTGGATCTGGTGATTTTTTTTTTCATTGGAAATTTCTTGTCTTGATATTAGGTGTAGCATTGGTTGCTTCGGTCTCTATGGACCAAGGCCACGTCTCTTGACAGCGTTTTTCTTGGGCGGCGGCTATTCCTGGCAGAATCTCTCTCTCCAGCGTCCATTCTCTCTCGCTCTCTTCTCATCCCATCCCCCGAGAACCAGAATCCCCTCATCCCGAGATATTTTTGAGCCGAGCTTCGGGATGATACAATCCACCCTCCAGAACATGGGAGGTTGCATGCTCCAAAGCGAGGTGCCAAGGAGTCTCCTGTCTCTGGTCCTGCGGCTGCCCCCAACTGACCCATGCCCCGGTCAACGCGCCAGCCACTGTGTGTAAGTCCATGGTAAGCCGATGCGAAACAGGACGAACGACGACCGCATCCACCCACCCACACCACCACCACCACCACCACCACCACCACTGCCACGAGAAAGTATGCCCACGCTGAGATGACTTGAAGAGGAAAAAGGCTGAATAAGGTTATACCGTTATCGAGCCGCTGTAACCGAGAGTTGAGGAATAATCATGTAACCCTTTGTCGTCAGGAAGAACGCCGATGCTGGATGCCGTGATATCGATTGGGATCGTTATAAACATGAAAGGAAAAAGTAGTAAACAAGTTGTCATGATAGCTCAGGGAAAGAACGGTGAGGTCTCGTCGATTCTCCCGAGTTTGCTTGGACTTGCTCGCCATGGGGTATACGGGAGTCTCTCTGACAGGTAGATGAGTGTACCATGCGAGGTCGAGACGATTGTAACCGTGGCGAAGAAGGGGCGAGTGCAGTCTATACGCGAGAGCCATTGCGGCCTCTTTGGGGAAGGGTCCAGGGCTTAGCACAAATGATCTGGATACAAAAGTCAGTAAAATGTACAATGAGGTATAGATTTCATGCAAGCGTACCTCTCCTTCGCTGTAAGCCCAAAAGTAAACAACCAACCCGACAATGTAGTAAAGAGCAGAGTTGGTGCCCTGGTAGATGAGGGCGGCGGCGAGGGTGGTGAGAGGGAGGATGATGAGGCGGAACTCGAGACTGCGGTGGATTGCCGAGCCGGCGATGAATCCTAAAGGCCACTCCAGGGCCACCATGAACAGCGCCATGAGGAGATTGATAATTTGTAACACCGGCACGGGCTTGACAGCTGGGTCCAGCGTTTTGGTCAAGAAGTCCCAAAAGATCTTGGGCCAGAAGAAGCCCTCGAGAGCAGCGGCAAATTGGTCTGTTCGCAAAAGGTTAGTATTGAAGGTGCTTTGGCCCTCATGAGAGAGATCCAACTTACAAGCTGCCGCGCTCATAACGATGAGCCGAGCCCAATGGTTCTTAATAAGACGACCCATTTTTCTCGATTAAATAATGTTGTTGACTTTTCGTGGAGCCTTCTTTTCCTCTCTCTTTCTGATTGCTCAGTTGTATTGTGAAATCTTTGATCCCTCTTTTTGCCTGTTGCGTTGGTAACCTGTATTGCGACCCTGCTGTGTCCGTCCTCTTTTCCCAAGTAAACCCGTTGAACCAGTGAATGAAAGGAACGAAGGAAGCGGTCGTCGAGATCGGAGCCCTCTCGTGGAATAAAACGGGTAGTGGTGTAAAAGGCGACTAGGTCGAAAGGCAAACCGTGCAACGGCGAAAGGAAAGGAATAGGTACCGGACCTGCGGGTTGAAGAAAGAAGTGAAGGCGTTCGAACCGAAGAGTGTCGATATTAAAAGAAGGATATCGACAGGCAAGTGCGCAGCGCTGGCGAGGAAAGAAGAGAAGGTCAAGAGGAAGGACCAGAAGTGTCAACCGATCAATGAGGCGGGGGAGGACGACAGATCTATATTGAGACGAGAGAGTCGGGATGGATGAGACGACTTGGACTGAAGGTGGCAGACCCAGACCAGGGTGGGCGGATACTGGTGTGTGCCTGGCTGTGTGAGAGGTGGAGGACGATGTGGGCTTGGTCCAGCCCAGTGGGCAAGACGCCGAGCCGCACAGAAAAGCTGGTTGAGGCTTGTATCAGAATGGGCCCCGGGCTAGCTTGCTGGGCAGGGTATCAGTGTCGGGTGTTTCTGGCTCGATGCTGCAGTGAGTTCTCTAGAGAGCCAGGTACGAGCAATCTGATCTATGATGACAGCGGGCATCCGAGCGGCATTGAGACGTTTCTTGTTGCGCGAGGGGTCTTGGTTCTGCTATAGACCAGCCAGCAGAACTAAGAGGCGAAGCCAGGGGTCAGGTTGGCGTTGGTGATGATGTTGGTGGAGGTGTTGGTGGAGGTAGTGATGGTCAGTGTTGCAGGAAATGTGGACAGCAGTGACGGCGTGGTGTGTGATGCTCGTGGACCAGGATATCGTAGGATCTGAAGGCTGAAGCTCTTTGCGTTGAGGCTCTGTGGGAGTTATTCTCCTAGTGCCGGGAGACCGTGGTGAGGTACGGGGTATGAGGCAGTAGTCGGGATGGTGAAGCGTTGTGGTGGAGTATTTGGTACGTGATGTTCGTCAGGGATCTGTGCTCTATCGCCCCCGTCGCATGAAGGTTGTTTGATGATCAGACAGGACGGCTGTCAGGGACACTGGTGAAGCAAGGAGGTGGAAGAGGGACAGAAACGATGGCTGGTCGCACACGCGAAAGATGGAGGTAGACGAGTTTTAAGAAACGCCAGCTTTTGGGAGTCTGGTCGGATGAGAAAACCGGGGTAGAGTGATCTAGTCGGTCCATCTAGGCGGGATTGGATGCAAGAAAGAAGTGCAGTGCAGAAAGCGGCGCAGAGAGCGGCATCATACGTCCGTCTGGCATGGCAGCGTTACGGCGCTACCATACCCGCCCGACCCAGCCACGGCCATGGCCGGTCATGGAATCTCAGTCGAGAACCAGTTGGAAGTGGTCACACAGGTATTGGAGAAGGGCGACTAGACACTACTACGTAGAGGTAGCTCAGCCAGGGCCCCAGGGAGGTTGAAGCCGTCACTTGACTGCATGATGGGGGACATGCTTGGGTGAAGGATGTAGGCGAGCGGGTACGGATGCAATGTTGCCCGGGATGGGTGCGCGAGGCCAAGGCACGGTGAGAGAGTTGAGGGACATTGTTTCCTGCAAGCAATATAGGTAGTGGAGGACGTGGCGAGGCGCGGGGCTAGGCGACTTGAGGATCGGTGTGCGTGAATGGCTCGAACAAGTAATGAGAGAATATCTGTGAGGTAGGTATGGACTATGAATTTGGTGTGCAATACGGATTGAGCGAGTTGACGAGGTCGGAGGGGCTTGGGAAAGGGCCGAGTGACAGAGGTGGTTAACGCATCGACGTGATTGGGCCCGTACGCACAAGCCGTAGGCGGTTAGAGAATGAGCTCAGGCCAATAAGACCCCTTGCTGCTTCTCCTCTGGCAGGCGGAGAGTGGAGCGCACCTGCCAAGGGACCAGGGGTGAGACTGGGGCCGTCTGGTGTGCCGTCAGATCATCGCATCCCTCCTCAGTACTTGGGACCAGAAGGAAAGGACGAGATGGCTACCTGAATTCTCACTGGGAGAGCACCACAAAATCAAGTATCTTTCCTGTCTTTTCTGTCATCCCAGCTCTGCTCTCGTAGGTATCGCCTCATGAACCCTCCTCCTGGTCAGCCACCTCACGCACAGAAGATGGACAGCACAGCGCACTTTACCTCAACTCAGCAGAGAGGGGAAGCATTTGCCTTACACTAGGTACAGCAGGCCAACTGCCGTTGTAGCAGTGAGCAAGTGCCCTGTAAGACCCCAGCCTCCAGCGAGCTCGTGTACCACTTTGGGAGGAGACGTCGATGATTTACGGGCCAGTGGTCGATTTAATTAATCTAGCTTCGGCCATTTCAGCAAATGAGAATGCAGAAAAATCTACGATAGGCAAGTCGAGCGGGAGGATAAACAGGCCAAAAGAAACAATACCCGCCTTTGCCTGTTTCTGAGCTGTTCTTGCCTTCCATTACGTCTTGGTATTGGTACAGCAGCAGGAAGGTGAGTACCTAAGAAAAGCATCGCGGTCCGAATGATCGTGGTCTCTTCCTTCCTAGTCAGGCTTGTCAGGTTCTCACACAAGCAGGGGAAAGAACCTGATGTGCTTAGGTAAGAGTTGAAGGGTACGTCTCTCTACACCCTCTTCGCTTCGTCCGCACTCGCCTGTCGCACAAACTCTTTTGATCTTCCAGATGGCGTCGAAAGCGTAACAGAGATCGCGCACCCACTCGACTCGACAAGACGACACGACACAGCCCAGGCCACCCCGAACTTCAGACCACAAGAAGATTTTTCCCATTGTGCAAACTGCCCATTCCATCCAGAAATTCCCAGCTCCCACGCTGAGTTCATGCCATCTGATCCTCTGCAAAACTCTGAGACGGCTGATCAAAACCGCCTCAGACACACGCAAGTTCCAGAATGGCTGTGCTGAGGCACAGCTGGTTTGAGAAGATGGGACGGCTGCTCGTTGCCCGGTCGCAGTCACCGTCTCGACCATCACCGAACCCTGTACTCCACCACCACCACCACCACGAAACCACCCCTGTCCACCTTTGGACCGCAACGCAACCATGGACAACAGACCCCGGTCCCGTTGCCCCTCAAGAAAGTCCCTTCCTGGCTGGAGGTTGGCAAAAGCTGGGCATGCCACATGGAAGATATTGACAAGGATCGGGCTTTTCTTTCTTTTTCTCTCTCATACCCCCTGCTCGTCTGCATTTGGGGCCCGTCGCATACTCCACAGCGGGCACGCTCTTCACCGTTGTCCAAAGTCCCAAACCCACGATGACGGGGACTAGTGTACGGCGCAGCAGCTGATGGAGAATCATCAATCGATAATCCGACGACTGCAGCTTTCATGACTTCTTTCGCCGATCGACCGACATGCCATATGGTATACTTAGTTCTATAGCCCTGCTGCCATTTTCGAAAAGATTAGTTGCTAAAGCGAACGAAGCCTTGATGGAGTGCGGAAGACAACCGAGAAAAGACGGTGGTGTTGTCTTATCCAGCAAACCTCTAAAGCGCATGAACGCCTGCCTCCTCAACGCCTCCCGTCTCACGGAGCAGGCCCCTGCTCAGTCGAGTCGACGTCCTCTTGACCCGATCAACAGACGACTCGAAGCCTTGAGGATGAACGCTGCACTTCAGACTGAGAACAGACCACACTAGGGACTGTGACGTTGCCATCAGAAGCTGTCAAGCAACCCATGTCGATAGAACCTTAAAGCCGTGAAGGAGGAGGGCATAAGCTTGCGGTCTGGGGGCGGCTTTGCTCCTGCTACCAACGATGCTCAAGCCTGGGCGTCTTGCTGGCTTACCCCGTCATCGGTGCAACAAGACCGAGCGTCTCTGACTCTTCAGATGATCCTTTTGGGATGTAAAGCCGTTGTTCTCAAAGCGCCGAGATAAAACTGGCACGTTGGCTGGCACCGTCAGCTTTCTGCGGCAAGTGCCCGAGGGTCGATGGTGACAGCTCCGATCGACCGTTCGGGACACTAAAACTTTGGCGTGGATGGCTCTTAGGGCCATTTTGCAAGCTGCTCTCCTTCCCCTCACCTTGGCCATTCGCAGTTGTAGTGCGTGCGGCGTGCCACGGTATCAGCCTCTCGCCGCCAGTCCTGCACCGGAGGAATCCTCAGTATCAACGGTCTTGGCATGGGCAACGAATCCTTGTGTGTCACCTACGTCTCTAGAAACGCATGTGCGGACGTGCTTTTGGGTCGAGCACGGTGGACTGCATGCTGCGTGCTCTCCGATAATAGCAACTTGCTATTATACTCGTCACTTGCCTGATTCAGCGTCGTAACTGCTGGGTTGTGACGATTCGATAGTCTAATTCTAAGGCCAAGAGAACCCCGGTAGGATGGCGAGGAGAAGTGCTCATATCGAGGTCGCTTCGGCAGACAAGTGGCTGGCCTGCAGGGTCTTATTTGACTCTTGATCAACGTCAAAAGTGCAAATCTGCAATTTCTCTCACCGATATGAGTTGCAGTACATCCCGCTCATCCGCTCCGCTGCATCGAATGCAGTTCTCTTCGATCGAGACTAAAAATAAAAGTATTACCGAGAACAGAGGAGGGGAAAAGCCCGCCGCTAACAATGAGGTGTGTTCAACTCTATTTAGGAGGGCGGTTCAGCGCCGCGGCTCATTGGCTCCCCTCGCAGTAGCCCACATGGCCACGACCCACCCTCTATAACGGCCTGACCAACCAGCAGAGCTGTTGCTTCCGATTGTAGGAGGAGCCATCACTTGTGCTACTGCAACCGCCGGGCATCAATCACAGCATTATTGATTTCGCTTCACACTGTCACGACTGGACGCCAGAGGCTGGACTGTTGATTTGAACAATTGAACCCTACAAAGGCGGTCAATTGGCTCAAATTGACAATTCCACTTTGCATGCACGCATAGCTCACCGATATCCGAGCCAGAAATAGATATCCCATGAGCAGATTGTTCTAGCAGCATGGCACCACGGCAATGGCTGGCGAGATCTGCTCATGCCATGCAACCTAACGCCAGTTCCCCGCGCCGCATCAACTCGACCGAGGGCTGCTTACACCGAAGTTGGCAGGCAAACTTCTACGCGTAGTCTATCTCTTGAATGAGAGAACGAAGCAAAGCGATGCCCCTCCGTCACCTCGCACATTGTCTGTCTCTTATTGGTGTTATTAGCAGTACTGATAAGCCAAAGCTTGTGCTCATCACACGTGCAGAGTATGTAGAAAAAACAGATAAGCATATCTCTCAAGTATCCGATCCGAGCTAAGCGTCTTGTCAACAAGCTTTGGAACAATATCACGACCATTATAGCGCAATACGGGTGCAATAACGGCTACAATATGGCTGCAATACGGATGCAATAAGGGATTGCCCGCCCCATCGCCCTTGGTTCGGTCCACCTCAGGGCTCCCCTGCCGGACCATCCGGTCACAAACCGACGACTCTTTTGCTGCTTGCATGTGGTCCGGTTGTGGTGGTGATGGTTTCTGCACATGCTGCAGGCCACGAGTCGGTCATCGGGTGATGAGTGCCGTGCTGAAGTCATCATAACGTGTGTTCTTGTGTCAGTCCGCCCACCACACCGTCCCTCCAGAGTCTACCCCCGTTCCTCAGGGATTCAAACCCTTGGAGGAACGGGGTAACTCCCCATCGACGTCTCTGCGATTCCGTACACAATATTGCAGCAAAAGATAGTGCAAGACAAGTGAGTGAGAGATAGGTGGGGCCTAAGAACACTTCTAGAGCTTTCCCCCCCCCCTCTCTTCTCCATCAGCGTCAAAAGTGATGCAAGATCGACGACGCTCCCAAGAAGGCAAAGCGATGAGGAACGCCCGGAAAGAGAAGAATGAAACATCCAGATCGACAATTCTCTATGAGTCGAGAATAAGAGAATAAGTGACAGAAATGATAAGTGCGTCCTTCAACGTGAGAAGTGCACATCAATCAAGAGCCAAGACCGGATAGGCTTCATGATGCAACTCCCCTCTCTAGACGTTTGAAAGTCCCCCCGATCGGATCGTCTCTGATCAAACATCACACTTTGGTAGAGTCCAGAATGCAAGATCCATCTCCTCTGACTCTCACCTCTGTCATCCTCTCTTCTCTGCCTCTGATATTCGTCGGATGAAATGATAAGAAAGAAAAGTTGACAAGGGCCCCCATAATAGGTTTCCCTGATCAGCACGGCTATTCAGCACAGCCGGGAAAGGAGGGGGATGGGGCATACACCACGACATCAAATGCTTCACAATTCCCTTCCCTTGCCTTGCCATGCACGCTCACTTGCTGGTTCAATGGTCCATCACACGCAACATGCCACGCACTCAGAACGAGCACATTCGATCCGTCTTATCCGTCCAGAGAAAAGCGCAGAGCCCTTCCTTGCTGTTGCCCACGCACGGATCTTGGGAAGCAATGGTACCTTTTTTTCCATCCCGTCTTTGTTCTGGTGAGACGAAATGGCGTCGGTGGAGTTCCAAACGTCTCTTTTCCCGCGGTTGTCAACTTGTCAGTGTCAACTGGTCTTTTCTGAAGCACGAACGACTGTCAACTGGTCGGTCTCCAAAGGCAGCCGTTTCCTCCTCCCCATCCTTCCGGCCCCCATCTCTCGAGTCTCAACTCTTGCGTGCATTGTTGGTCCGGTGGCTTGTCACAGCTGTCAGAGCCTCGCCTTTGGTACAAGCCGCCCACTCCACACGTTGAACGGTGATGGCATCCATGGTCCAGATCTATCGTCTCTAGACGCTCAACTACCGGCCCCCCCTTTTGCTCTGTTGACTCGTCTCATGTCTACCCTTGGTGATGCACACGGAACACAGCCTCCCCGAGTCCCCTTTATCCAGTCCCCATTTCCCCCTTATCACGATCTTGACCAAGTTGAGCCCGATACGAATTGCCCCGGGAAACTGGTATTCCTCCTATCTAGAGTCGTATACACACGTTAAGTGACGCCAGAGACCGGATATCGATCTGCCATCCGAAGAGCGAAGAAAGCCCACCGTCGCACCATGATCATCTCCTGTCCACCTGTCAACGGCATCGGCAAGGCCTAAAACGGCCAACCCTGCTTTCTCAACCCCCCATTCCTCTCCCGGCCTCCAGAGCTCACGGCCAACGCTCATGTGAGAGCCAGCCTCTCCAGCGCCAGGAACCCTAGAATGGCCTTGCCGTCCTTCGGGCCCAACAAATCCAAGATTCGCGCCTTACCCTCCTCTGTGTCGGCGAGGGCGGCAATCTCGCGCGGGGACTGGCCTAATTCGCTGAGAAGGTTGGCGCCGTGTTCCGAGAGGGGTTCGTTGTCGCCAGCCATGTACAGGAGTAGGTCGGCGGAGGGTTGGTCTGGAGAGAGAGACGATGAAGACTTAGCGGCGAGCATCTCTTGGAGGCCTGCGAGAATTGAGGGGAGCCCCGTGTGTGACGTTAGAGGTAGTGTGAGTAGGGGCGGATCAAGCTTCTCTAAGAGGCTTTGATGCGAACGGTTGTTAGCATTTTTCTACAGTACTGCAAAGCATGCCCAGAATGAAGCGGAATTTGTTGCACATGTTCATGGGCGTGCGTCTGATGGCACTTTCCTTAAGCACATTACTTACTCAATCTTGAGCTCCATGAAAGCCTGCGTCGCATCACATTGGTCGACGCCCTCGCCGACGAGGAAGATGGCAGCAATGTTGCAGCCTCCATCGAGGCTGTTGAGACGCTCTAGGCGCTGCGCGGTGGCTTGTTGGCCAACATCCTTTGGCGAGAGGAGAATGAAGCGAAAGGTCTGATTGTGGGAGATGGGGAGGGCGATGTCGTGTGTGTCTAGTCTGCGTTCTTATTGTTCAAGTTTCCTGTTAGTGAATGGGAATGTGGAATGAAAAGGAAAGGCACGAAATCGATCTTGTCTTTCCTTGTAATTTTTTCGTACCTTGAAAGGGTGGTGTATTGCTTATTAGGAAAGGGATCAAGGGTGCCCATTCAGGACGCTGGCGGAGGGAGGAACAGAAGAACATGGTGGATCTGCTCACATTGGGTGACTTGTGCGATGGAATACGTTGGGTGTTATTCGGCAATGGGAATAGTTTGAAAAGTTATTTGGGATCTTTGTATATGAGGTGAGTCAAGTCTGTGATTCAGACATGGCAAGAGCTGCCTAGCTACTCTTGCCAACTTTATTCTATCCTTTTCCGAGAGTGAGGTGATCCTTCTAAACTCCTCGCTACCTGGTTTGAGTTACACCTGCCCTTGAAATATTGGTACAGCACGGAGACAATTGTCGCCGGCTAGATGGTATCATGGTGAAATTGTACAGAAACCTCGCTCCTCCACGTCTCCTGCCTTCTA